ATAGATAGATAGATAGATAGATAGATAGATAGATAGATAGATAGATAGATAGATAGATAGATAGATAGATATGATACTCAGATAAGATTCAAAAAGAAACCTACTGAATGTTTCATGTTGATTTTTTCTTACAAGCAGATTTCTAGGTAGGTTAAAAATTCAATACAGGCAGTTCTTGACTTATGACCACAATTGAACCCAAAATTTATGTTGCTAAGTGAGAACTTTGTTAAATGAGTTTTGCCCCATTTTACGACTTTTCTTGCCACATTTGTTAAGTGAATCAACTGCAGTTGTTAAATTAGTAACACGTTTGTTAAGTGAACCTGGCTTTGCTTGGCAGAAAGTCACAAAAGATAATATGACATTGCAACCATCATAAATATGAACCAGTTGTCGAGCATTTGAATGTAAATCACATGATCATGGGAATGCTGCCATGGTCATAAGTGTGAAAAATGGATGTCACTTTTTTCAGTGCCGTCGTAAATTCAAATGGTCACTTAATGAACTGTTGCTAAGTTCAGGGCTACCAGCACTAGCAAAATGAACAAAACAAGGTTTGGTTTGTACAAGAATAGGCTTATAGATAAGTGACAGAAGATTCCTTCTCTCAATCTTCAGGAATCAAGTTTGTCAAATCTCACCCAATTCAGGAATCTCTGGGTAACAGTGGGTTGAGGGTGTGGCAGGACTGCAAAGGAAACAGTGATATGTAACCCTCTTCCACCCTAATCTGCCAATACTGTTTGCTTCCCATGACATAGAAATTCAAATAATACGTGTTATATACAATTTGCAATGCACTTTCTTAAAGTTGTATTAAAACTGTGTAGCTTACAAAATGTCAAACAACTGCCACACACGTGCAGTTTCAGTATTTTTAAGTACTGCAAAAAAAGTTCAAACCTTGGTATAAATAGACTTATGCCAAAGACTGGCCACAATGAGATTAAAATCCATTTATCTAGACTAGGCATTCAGCAGCCATAATGCCGACCCCAAAGGATTTCAGTGGATAGCAATCCTCTCATTTTTGTATTAACTGAAATTGCTTCTGGAACAAAATTTGCTGTGCTCAAGTATGGATGGTTTTTAAGTAATTTACTGTCCTTGCTCAGAGTTTTATGGGTCTGGTGCTGACACAGAGAAATACATGGCACAGTGTCACCACCACACTGCCAAGTTCTTAGCCTCACATTCCCTTTGCCATTGTGACATAGCAGCTCCAGTTTATGACAAATTGCAATTGAAAAACTCTCAGTCTTACTGAAGCATAAATGAAAATTAATGTTCTTGCAGCACAGTAACAGGAGCCAAGCAGAAGATGCGTAAGACATCACAGAATAATAATCGTGATACAATCTTAGTAAATAGTTTGACAGTATCATGGAATAACAAGAGTTGGAAGGGACCATGGAGGTCATCTAGTCCAACCCCCTGCTCAAGCAGGAGTCTACTCCAAATATTAGCCTTTATCTAGGATCGAACTCACAGCCTCCTGATTGTGAGACAAGAGCTCTACCTCTAGGCCACCAGATCTGCATTACTCTCTGCTCTGGCAGAATGACAGGGAGATTAAAATCTGAGTAAATCCCAACCAACTGGTCCCTAGGAGGCTCTCGTAGTACAACGTACGACCATGATTGAGTCCAAAATGTATGTTGCTAAGCAAGACATATGTTAAGTGAGTTTTGCCCCATTTTACGAGTTTTGTTGCCATGTTTGTTAAGTGAATCACTGCCATTGTTAAATTAGTAACATGGTTGTTAAGTGAATCTGGCTTCCCCATTGACTGTGCTTGTTAGGTCTCAAAAGGTGATCACATGACACTGGAACACTGCAACCATCATAAATGTGAGTCGGTTGCCAAGCATCTGAATTTGATCATATGCTCCTGGGGATGCTACAAAGGTCATAAGTGTGAAAACTGGTCATAAGACACTTTTGTCAGTGCCACTGTAACTTTGAACGGTCACTAAGCAAAATGTATTGACATCTAGGAATTGGAAATGTTTTCCATATCTGCATTGCTTTACTGCAAGGGTCTTCAAAGTTAGCAAGTTTAAGACTTGTGGACTTCAACTCCCAGAATTCCTGAGCTAACATGACTGGAGGAGGAATTCTGGGAGTTGCAGTTCACAAGTCTTAAAGCTGTCAAGTTTGAAGATTCCTGCTTTACTGTAATACTGATATTATTGCCCAAAGGTGCTTTTTTCCAGAGGCAACTGGACTTTCTGCTTTTTCTTTGAAGATGTTTTGCTTCCAATCCAAGAAGCTTCTTCAGTTCTGAAGAAAAAACAGAAAGTAGTTGCCTCTTGGAAAAAAAAAAAAGCACCTTTGGTACAACCATGCCCTGGATGACTGAGAATCTTCATAGACATTTACTGATATCATTATGCAAAAGTCCACATATGTTAATTATCCTTACTGTTTGAGGTTTATGAATTCTCAATTTCATTTATACAGAGTTTTGATGAGTATGCCACTATTAAGCAAAACACAGGCAGAAAACTTCTTCGACTTCACTTCTTTTTGCCCTCTAGCCCTATGTTGACTTTTCTTCCTTTCCTTCTCATTGATTATGCTGGCCTCTTCCTATGTTCCAAACAGATTAAACTAGTTCCACTCCTCGTGTCCTAGTACCATCTGCTGCTGGCCTATTTCCTGCAGAGCAGTCTGTTGGCCAGCAACTCCAATAGTAAGAGAGAAAATGTCTAGACCTAAAAGGGCTTTCCTACATGACAGTGCTCCTACTACAGCAAGACCTTATTGGGAGTCTCCTGTGCTCCTTATTGGTAGAATAAGAGTAAAGAAGGGGAAGTTTAACTAACTAGTGTCAATCCTGATAATGGTGAGCAGAGTTACGCCAAAGGTATCTGCCACTGTAAGACATTTAAAAAGATGCATTTTTTGTTCCAAATGGTTTACTGCTTGATCTCATGAGATCATATTAGAATGGATGGGGAAGAAAGGGGAAAACAATCAATACAAAAAAAATCCAGTAAGTTTATAAGAAAATCTAATCAAAACAATCAAGATATATTGTTAAATATCATATAACCAAGATCAGGAATTGAAGGGGGAAAAAACATACTTCACAAAATAGAGTTGATAATAAATGGTTAAAAACAAGTTCATCAGATGTAACAGTGTTGTCTTTTTTGTTTTAAAAAGTACGAGATTGTGAAAGCTAAAGCAATAAGTAAGGGTGGGAACAGACATCAGATATGCAAAAGAGTAATCTTAGGTTTTAAAGTGCTTTGGGGTCAAAACGTAAGTAATTGTGGGTATGTAATGTGAAACACAGTGAGTCTCAGACAGAAATAGAGGCTATGTAGGATGTGAAGCCTCCTTGAACTTCTCTGCCAAGAACAGCGGCTAGAAAAGATGAAAGATGGTTGGAACTAAAGGAATTGAGTCAATGCAGAACCATCACGTATAATTAGCCAGTTGCCACTGGAAATGGATCCAACTTCAGGGGAGATAAGGGGGGAATATTTTATACTTAATTGCGCAGACTAAATGACAAAAGAAGGCAGGGAAGGGAGAAATAAATCATATTAAGTTAATACGGGATAAAAATTTAAAGCAAACAACGCCTGAGAAATCATTCTACAAAGCTAAGTGGGGCTTCTCTTTTGAAAAAGACTTGCAAGATAAAATCCTGGTCCAATAGAAAGCACAACCAAATCAAGAAACCTTAAAGAGTAGGGCTGAGAAGCCAAAACACCACTGGGAGTGGGGGAGTGGAAGTGGAAACAAAACCCACAACAAATCTACTCTGCATCTGGTTCACCTTTCCACGTTTTAGCTAACTCCACCTCTTCTATTTCCAAGTTTGTAGCTGCCCGGAAAGAAAAAGAAAAAAAGGTTTTTTTCAGCCCAAGTTTAGCCACCCCAGGCAATGACAAAAGAAACCCGGCTGTACTGAAACAATGGCAATTTCCTCTCCAGCTTGTTCGCACCCTACCGTTTGTCTTTTTTTATTTTTTTTATTTTTTATTTTTGCAAAGAGGCCACTCCGAGAGAGAGTCAGCAATATGACATCCTAGGTTCCTTTATGTACTCCGATCGCGACGAGCCCAGTGACGGACGTCCACCGGTCCCTTTTACGCCGCCGCCGCCGCCGCCAGTCAAGTTGGCTGCGCCCGAGTGAGCGCGCCGTTGCCCACTCCCACCTCTCTCGGCACAATGGTGCGCTTTGAGCGCGCCCGGCATCCCAGCTCTCTGCCGCCGGGGATAACGGGATCGCCTAGCTGAGACGGGCAACTCTCAGGGAGAAGGCAAACGTCCTGGCTGCTCCGTCTCTGGGAAGCAAGGGCTGGCTTGGTATGGTTTGCACCGAAGCGACGCGCGCAGCAACGCCGGAAGAAAGGAAACACAAGCAGGCACATCGCCCCCGACCTTACCTCTACATTAAAATACTGCTCTGCTCGGCATCCGGTGGCACATAAAATCCAAAGCAAGGCTTGCAAGAAGAGGACCCTGGACCGATGCACGATATCCCCCCGACTTGCAGTGCTGAAGGCGAGTAAGATCATAGTGGACTATGTGCTTCAATGGAGAAGGAAGAGAGAAAGCTCCTTTTCTCCGGCCGCTGCTTTCTCCCTCCCCCTCCTCCTCCTTCCCCCCCTTTCGGAGACCCAAACAAAAACAGAACGCGCGCACGCGACGTTTTGTTGTGCTAAAAAAGAATAAGGATAATAGAGCCCAAAGCTGGCGAGGGACGGTTAGATGCAGGTTCACCCACGGAGGTGGGAATATTGGGGGGGGGGGGGGAGAGGAGGAGAAGAGGGACTCGACCCTTCACTTCCAAGCGCGGAGCGGCGGCAGCCTTTAATAGGGTCAGCTCTCCTTCATCTTCCTCGCTTGTCCCGTCTGGGCGCGCAAACCGAGGTGCGACTCCTGCGAGACGCCTGGTTCGCCCAGCGGCAGCAGCCGCCGCCGCCGCCGCCGCTCCGGTGTGTGTGCGTGTGTGTTGTGTTGTCTTTTTTTTTTTTCTCCTGCTGCTGCTGCTGCTGCTGTTCCTCTTCCTTTTTCTGCTGCCGCCAAGGCCTCGGATGCTGGGCCGCCACTTCTCTGCGCTCCAGCCTCTCCGCTTCTGGTGCTTTTTCCTTCTCTCCTCCACTCGAGAATGTACATCTGCAGATCTCCGTAACTCCTCCTCTCGAGTCAGCCTCCTCGGAGAAATCTTAAAGGAGACTGCCCTTAAAAGCTCCTCCTGGATCCCAACAGGAAGGAGAGGAGGGGTCGCCGGCGTGGGGATGGCATAGTCTCCTCTCCAACCAAGCCCGGCCCGGCCCTGACTAGAGGGAGGGGGGGAGAGAGAGGTGGCTGGCGCGGAAGCTTGAGCACGCTGGAAGGGAGCGAGTTGACGGTCCGCGTCTCCTGAAACACCCGCTTACTGTCCCGATTCGGAGCCAAGGCGAAAAAAGGGCTCCCCAGAGTTTGCGCACGAATGTACGCTCTACTTTCCAGGAATAAACAAATACCAGGCCTTCGTTTCCACGGCTGCCTGTCTGGGCTGCCTCACGCATTTTTTTCTACTCGTTTCTGCACAAAAGACCTCAGAAAGGAACCGGGGGTGGGTGAGGTGAGTTGGGTCCGAATAAGAGATAAGGTGAGTTCTCGGGTTCCACAGAATCAGAAGGGGGGGGGGGAAAGGAAGACATCCCTGAAGTCAGCAAACTTATTTTGGGGTACACCGGCAGGATGGGTGCCAGATGGGAAAAGCATTCCCTTCACGACAGCTTTCAATGGGTACAAACTCTGTACATTTTTCTACCACTTTTCATTCAGTTTGATGAAGTCCAATCTGTTTCTTTCTTCCCATCTTGAGATGGCCAAGAAGTCTTGTGTTTCAAATCGTCTCTCCAATGATACTCAAGACTGACCGGGTTTCCAAGAAAAGAAGCCATTATCTTCCCAATGGATTATTTTTTTCCCAGATTGGGAAATGTGCCTCACCCAGGCTTCAGAGGAAAGGAAAGATGTATTAGAGAAAACATCAAGAGCAATATTATCCTCCAACTATAAAGCTCAGTAACATCACCAGGAAAAATATCAAAGAAATTGCAAAACATTCCAAAAATAAGAGAGGTAGTAGAACAAAGGTGGGGGGGATCTGCAAACACATTTTAGAACAACATTAATTTAAAGAGAACATAGCAAAGGAAACAATGACTCAAACCATCCTCTGGGATTAGGACAAACAATAAAGCAAAGAGTTAAAATGAAAGAAAAATATCCCCCTGTGGCCAGGGTGTTAGAGTTTGGAAAATATTTTTTTTCAGCTCCTCTGAAGAAAAGATGCTTTATGAATGCATGATTTTATTTCTTTAACTTGACAAATGTGGGCTGGGCAGGAGGGGTTCCTTTCTTTCATCATGATTTCCCCAAATCAATTCTATGGTGTTTTTTGTTTTGTTCCAAAATGAGGATTTCTCATTTTGTTTCAGGAAGAGTAAAATAAAGGTACATCAGAGCGAGAAAGAATGCAGATATCCTTTCTCAATTTTAAATCAATATTATTTTTAAAGTGCTTCCTTTTTCTGATCATGTTTCTTCTATTACTTCCATGTTGATACATAAATGGGAATGCATGTAAGAGCACTTACTATGCCTTTCAGTAGACTTAAAAGTATTGGTACAGTTAACTGTTTCCATCCTACATGTATGTTGGCTGAAAACAGGAGTCCCTAATTATGATGACTATACAATATACTCTCAAAAACAATGACACAATTTTAACCTCGGGACTCTTTTAATCCCTCTTTCCCTAATTTTATTTCTCTTCAAAAGTGGTAAAGCAGCTTGTTTGTTCTTTTTAAGATGGGCCATAGAATGTCTGCTTGGTATCCTGATGCTACAACCTATCATAAAGTGATTTAAATGTATAAATACATATTAGCGAAGTGCATTAAACCATGATTTATTTAACTATGAATTGTTCAGTAAACACTCAAACAGCATTTCCAACCAACAGTAAACAAATCACAGTTTAGTGAACTCAGCCATTATATTCACTCTGCCAATGAAGTTTTCCTAGATGTTAAATCTAGACTGACAAAGAGATTTCTCATCTATCCTTTTCCCTGTCATGCTAGGTTTGGGTGGCTTTTAAAAATAAATAAGGGGATACTTTGATATATGTAGTCCCTAGCATCTGTTATAGTTCCATGTGTTATGCTACAACCCACATACTGTACTTTGAGAGAATACAGAATGTGTACAGATCTGAATTTCTCTATCCACAAAGTTCAGTCTTGATTAAGAGAGATAATGCAGGGAATTAAAAAAACGCATTTAACCCATTAATTTGTAATAGTCGCATAATTCTGTGGTTGCCATTTCCTGGTTTCCAATGTATCATTCAGACCAAGATCCAAAGACCAATTTCTGCTACCCCATAAATTGTTAATCTTTTTTTTCCCAACAGTAAATTCTAAAGTGTAATATTCAACTGACAATTAGTTCAAGAGCACTAACTGTGGCACTATTTCTCTCAGAATGATTGCCAATTATTGTTCCATCCTCCATTTCTGTTATTTGCATCTGTATATCACACACCAAACAGAAACCTTTGTAAATGTTTCTGGAATGTCGTATGCTTATCCAAGAATGCATGTCCACAACAGTTATACATTTAAGGGATTTTTGTAAGCTCTTTTGAAGATACTTAATGTATTCCCTTCATCTTCCCTTCTTATCTCAGTTTTACAAGAGAAATGAGACATGTCTATAAATTGGCAATCATACATTGACTGGAATTGATTTCGAGCCAGATTTCTGACTTTTAGAGTTACCAAATCTGCGTAGCCAAAATCTGGATAGTAGAAAGTTTTAAAGGTTTTCTTATCTATTTACTGCCATCTAGATCTGGATTTTTCTATTCCATATTTAGTACTCTTAATTGAAGTAAAATGTGAAATGTTTGTTTGTTTGTTTGTTTACTTATTGTCACATTTCTGACAGGACATACCTGGCAAACCAGCCATGACCATGTATAAGCACAACATTGAACAAAATCATTGATTAATAAACAACGACATAAATAACTAACAGTAAACCACATAAAGCATTACCAGATCAGCAGTCAAATATAAGATGCATTACGGAGTACCAATCTTAAATTGATAAAAGTGAATTTTCACATTTCATTTAAAAATAGCCAGAGAGAATGAAAATTGCAAAACACAACAGCATTTCTCTCTAAAAAAGAGTGAAATGATTTGCTTGATGCTCCCCATTTTATGATAATAAACACAAAATAATATACTAGAAACAGAAGTACTTATTTTGTTGACCCTCATGTTTGGAAAATAATTGCTTCTTCGTGTTGCTTGAGGCCTAAAGGCTTTACATTTTTATAGTCAAGTTCTCTTTTCCTCACTGATATATTTTGTTACTATGGCAATCAAAAACTATTTCCATTCCATGCAGTTCACAAACTAGTCACTTGCACTTATTTCAAGAGTGATAAAATAGAAGTTGGTGATCTGGAAATTGGAAAAGGGAGGAAGGAAGAGGAGGAAGAAAGGAAGGAGAGAGAAATGCACATAATATTGGTACATCACCCTTTCTTGCTAAATAGCTGAAGTCTCTAGTGATGTCACTGGTATGCACCATGATCAATGACTTAAGCTACAGAATTGTTAGTTTCTTCCACACTAGAGTGGAATATATGTTTATTATGTTCTTAGTCCTTCATTGTTAGACTGAATTTATATTATTTTGAATTAAAAAGACATGTTAAATAGCAATATGGAAAATGAGTTAATATTCCCCCTCCCTCATTTATGTACACTGTGCTAGTTAATACAAATGAAATTAGATATTTAGTTTCATAAATTGATTTAGAACACCACGTACATACACAAGCATTAATTGAAAAATGCTACCTATTTCCAGAATTGGCTGTAAAAGATCTCATGCAGGCAGATCCAGTCAATAGTCAGTAATCTCTGTTACAAAGCCAAAGCATGACTAAACGCCGAAGGTGCATGAAATGCTGTTACCTTCCCACCAAAGTAGTCCCTATTTTTCTACTTGCATTTTTACATGCTTTTGAACTGCTAGGTTGGCAGAAGCCGGGACAAGTAATGGGAGCTCACTCCGTTATGCAGTGGTAGGGATTTGAACTGCTGAACTGCCAACCTTTCTGATCAACAAGCTCAGCAACTTAGCCACTGAGCCATAACATCACTTCATTATTCATCTCCATTAGTAACTTTCAAATTAGCATCTGTTTCCCTTTGGGTCTGAAGTTTTTTGTTTCTTCCAGTTGTGATTGAGATATTATTTCTTAGAAGAATTCTTCCAAGCTATTTGGTAAAGAATTTGATTGTAGAAAATAAGGCTACACAAAGTACATTAAAATTTGCATTGCTGGACTTTTTTTTTTTTACCATATAACTGCTTAGGGATTTTATAGAGATATCTCAATGAAAGGCAAAGACTCCAAAGTTGTTACTAAAGGATTAAAGGTAGGATTTACGGCACACAATGCAAAGGAGAAGTGGTAATGGAATGTTAGTGAATCAGAGAGAGGCAATGTCATATGACCTCGGGCATTGGAAATTGTAGTCATGGTGGCATAGGTCAAATGACAGGATAGCAATTCCATGAGAAGAAAGGAAAGGTGATGCTATTGTGAAAAAGATGGGTGAGATAACAAAACAACAGGGAAGATGGTCTGGAGTTTTAGCAAATCAACATAATGCAGTTTCAGAGCCAGATGACTCATGACACCTTCAGGGAAAAAATACGCTCATGTTCTAGTATACAAAATAAAATTTCAGGAATCTGTTAATGCAAATTTGAATCAATAATTGAGAGAAACGAGTGGTGACCAGGATAATGATCTATGTCATGTTTTCTATAATTTTGATTAGCAATATGGCTATAGTCATTTCTTCTTCA